CCCTCTGGCTTCAGTCTCCTGAATATTGGGATTACAGATGTGTGCTACCATTTCAGGCTTATTCAATTTTATAAGCACTCTACTACATGAATATACTGCACTTCATCCATTTTTCTCTGTCAGTTTATTTTCAGGTTGTGGCTGTCAAATAAGGGTCCCATTTTCCATGAATATCCTTGTCTTTCTCTTCTTGATGTACATATGCACTTTTCTTCATTTTTTCCCCAACACTTGGGATTTAACTAAGGGCCTTTGCATTTAGCTACATTCCCAGCCCTTTTTAAACTTTGAGACATGATCTTGCTAAGTCATTAAGTTGCCTGGGCTAACCTTGAATTTGTGATCCTCAGCCTCCAGAGTGCTAGGATTACAGATGGGTACCACCACACCTGGCTCATCTTCATCCGTTTATAAAAGAAGATAGCTTGATAAGCAGCACCATAAAATGGATTGGGAAAACTAAAGCACAATAATAGTTAACCAACTGGACAAATTTATCACGAGGTGCACCTCTGGACTTACAGAGGTGCATAAGACCTGTGCACAGTCAAGAGAAACCGCTTGGGAAAGAGCTATGTGTATCTTTGATTGCAGGAATCCGGAGAACAGGGAACTGAAACCGACTGTGTAATTAAATGCAAAATTGCCTATACACTAAGTAAAGACAGCGGTTAGAATCTTGTCTGCTAAGAGCAGATGGTTCAATGCTAATACTGGCTTCCCAACTCTTGTTTACCTCAATCTGTGACTAGAGAGTCATCTAGAGGCCAAGTTTGGGAACAGGGAAGAAGGCTGAGAGACTCGGGTCATTTCCCTGAAGCTCAAGCATGTTTGTGCCAGACTATCCTCTTCCCAGCCTCCCACTCCTGAAACTGAAGCTGACTCCTAAGTGAACAGTGAGTCTTTAGACTCACTTCCAGTCCTTACAGAAAGATGTCATCGGAGGACCTGCGAAGCCAGGGCAGCTCCTGATGGGAATAAGGGGTGCTATCAAAATGTGGAGGTTGACAAATCAAGTTTGAAGTCTGCACATACTTGAAAATCAGTGAAGGTGAGGAGAGGGAGGAAGGGTTGACGGGCTGCAATGGAATTTAGAATTAGAAGGGGGTGGAGATAGTTGCAATAACGCTTCGATTTGTAGCATTTAGTAACTTACAAAAAACTTTCTACTCCCTGTCACCTCTTTCTGGGAAAACTAAGTACGGACTACCCTCGTTTTGCTGATTTGTGGCAGAACAAGTGTGAATGGAAGACAGCGTGAAGATCCTAATCTGTATCTTCATTCCCTCCCCAGCAGCTCCAAGGTGAGAAATGAATAGGTCAGAAGACTTGGAAATGCTCAGAGGCCGGGAGCAGTCTGGGGAGAGGTAAAGGGGTAAGAAAGGTGTGAGGACTCTGGGAAGTAGGGTTACCTTCACCCACTACCCTGAGCGACTGGGGTCTGCGGGGTTCTCTAAGTTGGGCTTCAGGGAGGACGGCAGAGAGGTGGCACCGCCTTTCCCGGACGCGCGTCGAGCGCCCTCTTTCACCGCAAGCCCTGGTGCCCGGGACCGCGGAGAGCGGCCCGCCCAGGTGCGCCCGGGGTTGGGCCAGAGCCCGGAAGGTGCGCTGTCCCGCCCCAGGCGGGTCCCCACTGCCTTCCCCCCGCGTGAAAGTGAAAGTGTCGCCCCGCGGAGGTCAAGGATTGGGGGCGGGGCCGGCGCGGACCCGGGAGCAGGCGCTGGGCACTCGAGGGGCCATGGATGGGCTCGGTAGCCGCCTTCGAGCCAGCCTGAGACTGAAGCGCGGCCGAGGGGGTTAGTGCCGGCCAGGGCGCGCAGGGACGAGGGCGCGGGGACAGCGCGGGACAGAGCGGGGATCCTGGCGAGGGTTGGCGACTAGGGCAGGGTGGCGCAAGCGTCCGGGAGCCACTGGGCCGGGTGAAGGTCAGGTGAGCCGGGAGAGGCAGGTAGGGGGGAACGGAATCAGGTGGGGGCGGGGGCGGAGGTCAGCGGAGTGACCAGGCCTGCAGAGACCAGTGGGAGGTGTCAGCCCCAAGGAAACCGTTGAGGGGCTCCGGGCCCACGTGTCCTTCCATTCAGGAAGCTTGTGGTGCAACCGCAGGGCCTCTGAAGCTCCCCAGCTATGGTGCTCTCTAGGAGGCGCCTTCCCTGCCCCACATTGCTGCCTCTGAGGGTTGTGGCCTTTGCCCAATTCCTGGGAGACAATCTCCTTCTGACCCGCAAATAGCCACCAGCCGTGAAAATGGTCTCCCTAATGACGTTTCCATTCCCCTCTTGGGCCGCCAAGTGCCCTGGGGAGGGTTGCTGTGGCTGTCCTGTCAGAGCTGTGAAAGAGCTTGCTTAGCTGCTTCCTCAGAGCGTGATCTCAGATCCAGATAGACCTACCCCACTTCTCAGCTTCCCACAGTGAAAAGAAATAATTCATCTGTCCAGCAAGTGGAAATTAAATTAGAAGCCAATGTTAGCTTCTGCTCTTTGTTCTTAACAGGAGTCTTGGACTTTGGAAGGAAGGCAATTAGGATTTCATTAATTTATCCATTCATTTGTCAAACAATGTTTGGGTTGTAGCTAGTCAACTCTGTGTCTGAGTGGCTTTGACTCTTGGACACTTTACCTAAAAATCCTGCTTCTTAAGAGAAGAGGACTGGAAGGTGAGGAGAGATCATTTCCAGGCAGCCCAGACCTTCAAGGCTGGCAATTCTAGAGCACAGTGAATCCCTTTCCTACTCCAAGTCCTGGAATTGGAGTGAGACCAGGATTAGACTAGTGCCTCTTTCTCTGAACTGCACTAACTCCTCAGTGATCTCCTCATTGTTCTTTTCCATTCCTTTTACCACCCCTGTTCCTTCTTCAGTCCTGCTGTTCTCTCCACCATCTCACTATTCCATCTGAAAGAATTCAGACACTGACTCTCTGGACCAAGCAGCTGGTTTCCCTGGACCTCTCAGACCCCTGCTAATCTGTTGAATGAATAGGATCTGCTTCCTGCAGCCCAGATGAGACATTCCAGTCTTCCCACCCACCCCTCTCACATCAACGTGATTGTTTGGAGGAGCTCCCTAACCCGTTAGAACTGAGAGATAGGCAGTCTGTCTCACCCGTCATAAGGTCTAGTGCTTGTCAGGCCAGGAGAATTGTGCTGTCTTCATCTTCCACTCTATTTTCATCTTTCTGAGGACTTTTCTTTGCTGCTTTTGCTTTTCTGGTGCCAGGGCAGTTGTTAGAAAGGTGTGTGTGTGTGTGTGTGTGTGTGTGTGTGTGTGTGTGTGTGTGTTGTGTGTCTGTGTAAATCATCTTGGTTGGGTGGAATTTTTTTTTTTGTCTTTTTCATTTTTATTGGTACCAGGGATCGAACTCATGACTGCCTGCTTGAAAGGCAGGCGCTTATGCCGCTGAGCTAAATCCCCAGCCCCGGTTGGGTGGAATGTTGTGGTCCTAGGTTGAGAACATCTTAACTCAAAAGAGGAAGGTCCGGTTGGTTTTTCATATTAGGTTTCAGGAAGTCCCCTTACCTCTGTTAGAATCTAGAAAGTTCTGAGACTCTGCCAGGTGCCTGTGGGAGGGGTTTTTGATGGAGGAACAAGTGTAACCAGCCTCCTGGCTTCCTTAGAAAGGGCGGTTCTCTCATCAACTAAAACTCAGGTAATAATTCCTTTCCAGGGTTTTGGGGAGCATATAATGTACCTTACATGAACCATGGGTTTGATGAATGGTAGTTTTCTCTCATGCTTTTCTCTTCTGTTGATAACTCCTTTTGTAAGAGGTGAGGGAGACAGCAGTATCTTACTGAATTTCTTAAGCCTCAGCCCAGAAGTCTAGGGCTATCTAACTATCAAGGATATCTGAGCTTTATTGTTGTCTTGTCTCTCCAGATAAACCAGAAGGAAATGACTGAAAATGCTGTCCAAAGAATTTAGGAAAGAACATGATTTCCTGAGGTTCTGGAATGATCAGTGACGAGATTCTAGTTCTCAAAGCCCTTTGTAAACCTTTGCAAGGTGTTTGCTGTGGAATGTACCCAGAAGGCAAGGAGCCTGGTCATAGAGCTTTCATAATCCCCACCTTTAGCAAATTCCATTAATTTTAGATAGTCTCTGAGTTACTCCGTGCCTCAGTTTCCATGTCTATATCAAGAAAGTGTTTATTCCTCAGACAGGAAGTAAGGATTGTACAGTAAGTCCGTGCAAGTTCCAAGTAAGGCATGGTGATGGCCAAGTGTTCTGGTTCATTCTTCGCACATGATCTATACCATGCCTATTTATTGTGATTAGGGCCTCCCCTTTTGGAATCATGGCTAATCTATTGAGCCCTAGCTTTTATTAGTGCACAAAAGCTCACTATAGCTGCCTTTCCCACCCTACCATCTCACTGCCTTCCAGCAGGCTGCTAATTCTTTGCAGGAATGACAGGTATTGGTACCAAATCCCTTTGCCACCTGACTCTTCTTTGAAGCACCTTTGTGGCAAAAGTCCTTTTTTTGCCCTATGCATTTTTTATTTTTTGTTCCTCAGTTTCAAATGCAGCAGTGGGCTAGCACCTCAGCTTGTTGACCTGACCTTGTCATTCAGGGAAAATAGCTGAGTAGGAATGGAAGTAGGGTAGAGATCATCCGAATGCTTTCCACTGGCCCTGAGTAACCTCGGGCCGTTGATGCAGCCAGTGTCCTACTCTAGCTGGGGACCATTTCCTGAGTCAGCGCTTCATATTTGGAAAAAGGGAATATGCTGGAGCCCTGGAACAGTCCCAGTAAGAGCGAGAACTTTCTGCTTTAGCTCAGGATATGTTGCAGGAGGGAAGAGAATCTCACTGTAGTAATTCTGGAAATCATAGCAGGAATTTTTAGTGGAGAGGCAGATTTTGTTCTGTACTTTACTATCATGGAGGAGAAGATTTTGGGTTCATACTGAATTCTAAGACTCCTTTTGCTGGAAGAATTAATCCATTGAGATCATTATTTGACTGTCTCATCTTAATCAGGACATGGCAGGCAATGTTTGGCCTTGTGCACTTGGTTAAGGTTCTGAAGTCTTTGAAGCTCTGAAATGTGGCAGGTGGTCTATCAGGGGTTTTCAGCTGCTTTTGACAAAACTGAGAAGTGAAAAGTTAACAGTCAAAGTTCTGGTGATGTCAGATCACTGCTCTGAGACTAGTGGTGTTCCACTCCCCCAAATCTGATGCTATTGGGCATTCTTAACTCTTCCAAGTTTCTAAATAAATTCACTGAATAATCCAGAGGCTAGAATTTAGAGCTCTTATCTCAGAACTACTGAGTCTTGATGGTGTTTGCTTATAACTTTTTTTCTTACCACACCCCGGGGCTCTTGGGAGGAGCTAAGAGCCAGCAGCGGTGCCAGGATGCTGCCTGTGTTCGTGCCTATGTTCAGCTGCCTCCTGGGTCCCGTCACATCCTTCTTGCTCAACCACAGGGTGCACAGGATGGAAACTGCTTTCTCCTCTTTAGACGACAGCGTGGAGTGTAGCTTCATAGAGTTGTGGCTTGAGATCGAAGCAGTGGTTGCTTTCTCAGGCTCTCTGTAGCCACCCTGTGTTGGGGGAAAGGAGAGTACTTAATGGCCCACAGGCGCAGGAAGATGGAAGGACAAGGGGTAGGCCGGGTGCTCAGGATCCTCCGGAACCAGCTGCCACGACTCCGAGCAGGTCAGGACAGGACAACCCACTTCCTTTTCATTAGGGTGAACCTCTTAAACTGGTCTGTTTCTTTCTTAAAGTGCTCCTTCCTCTTTTTCTTTTGTTTGTCTATCACCACATGGTCTCCCATGTGACCAGGGTAGGAGACCATGTATACCTGCTGATGTACAGAGCTGGGGTTGCCCTCTGTAGAGGAGAGAGTGATCACAATCACATGCCTTGGGCCTGTACTGGTAATTTAGTACAAGTTTACTTTGAGACATGCCGTTCTGGGCATACCTTATAGGTAAGCTGAGACTTGTAGTGGCTTGGGGCACGGGGCCTCCAGGAAACTCTGGTGTATTTCCTCAGCTTCCACATCAATGTTTCCCCCCGCCCCTTCTCATCTCTTCCTGGTTTCAAGTTTCCTAGGTGGGTGTGGAAACTGCCCACTTGGCTCTGGTCCTGTCCTGTGACTGCTGGTGCTGGGCAGGTTCCAGGTATCTAAAGGCTGGCAAGGTGGCTTCAAGGTGTGGAAATTGCTCGGATTCTCACAGATTCATAGAACTGATTTGTGAAGTACTGAAGGGCCTTGGTGTTTTGGTTTTAGGACCTTCCCAGAACAATCCAAGGGAAGCTGTAAAAGAACCAGAAAGCTCCCAGGAGCACGCTCTTCCCAGCTTTGCTGGAGGGCCACACTTCTTTGAATATCTTGTGGTGGTTTCTCTCAAAAAGAAGCGTTCAGGGGATGACTATGAACCCACCATCACCTACCAGTTCCCCAAGGTAAGGACCGAGAAACGGTGTGGGGGAGGGAGGACAGAAGATTAGAGTATTTGCAAGGTGATAGTGGAACTAGTCTCATTTCCTTTTCAGCTCAGCCTTAGTTTTCTGCTATCATCTGTAGAATCTAGGTCTGACTGCTTTGTGAGAGACTGACTGAGGCTCCTAGCAGGGAAACTAGGCTAGTACTCCTCTCCTTGCTGGGGCCTCCTAATTCTTCCCAATTTCCTCTCTTCTTAAAGAAGCTTATCTTCTGCCAAATCTCTTAGAAGGAATTCCCTTTGTGGACTATGTGGGAAAGAGTAGGGTGGGGCAGGCACCCAACTATAGACAGGCCCAGGACTTTTCCATGGCCCAAGTAGCAGGTTCTTTCTTGTCTGATTCTGCATTGAACAAGAGTATGAGAATAGAGCATCCTTCTCATTAACCTCTTTTTTAGCAGGCACAGCAACTGAGGTGGCTGCTTCTCTTTTCTGATGTGGTATTTTTCTGACATTGCCCTCCTATGGTGGTTGGACAGGTCAGGGCCTTTCTGTATTCGGTGTGGCCCCTGACCTCTTTCCTATGTAGACCCACAAATTCGTGGTGATGTGGCCAAGGAGGAGCTGTCTTATCTTTGGGTTCATTCCTGCCAGACTCAAAGTACAGAGTGTACCAATTGATAGGTAAAGGTGTCTTTTGGTCCCTGTGCCTATGAAAAAGCTTATCCTTGGATACCCGTAAAGCCTCAGAAGAAACCCCATCAGCCCTCTGACCCCCTTCTGCATCAAAATACATGTATATGTTTTTCTTTTCCTTACAGCGAGAGAACCTACTTAGGGGCCAGCAGGAGGAAGAGGAGAGGTTGCTGAGTGCCATTCCCTTGTTCTGCTTCCCAGATGGAAATGAGTGGGCATCTCTCACGGAGTATCACAGGTAACCACCAGCAGAGGTATCAGGGGCAGAGGTATCAGAATGGTGGGAAGGGGACACGTGTGAGCTCTTACCTTGTATGCTACCAACAATGTGTTGCTCATACTAATTTTCTGTGAGGGACTGTGGATGATTCATTTGTAAAGATACTGCAACCAAGTCCTTAAAGGTTTTAATTGTGGCTTGACTTCTTTTGAAAGGTGAGTGAGATTCTCTCACTTGTCCTAGGAATCATTGTTTTTGACTCTGCTGGTGGGAGAAGCTGGACTCACCAGAAGTCAACATAGCAAAGATCTTTAAAACATGAGCTCTGGAAGTTGACTGCTTGTTTAAATTTTGGCTTCACCACTTAGAAGCTGAACTTAGAAAAGAAATACCCTCTCAAAGTCTTAGTTCCTTTTTCTTTAAAAGGGAGATAATAATTGAACCTACTTTAAAGGTTGTTTTGAGAATCAAGCTGGGTGACACATTCAGGGTGTGGCATTAATGATCACTTAATAAATTACTGGGGTTATTCGTGCCATACCTAATCAGTTGCTCTTTTTATCCTCCTCTCCACACCTGACACCATCTTCCTGTTTTAGAATCAGTAAGCAAATGCAAACCATGTTGTGTCTGGTATTTTTTAGGGAGACCTTCTCTTTCGTCCTGACCAATGTGGATGGGAGCAGGAAGATTGGATACTGCAGGCGCCTTTTGGTCTGTGCTGCTCAGAACTTCGCCTCTTCTCTCCCAATTCACATTCAATGGCTGGGTTATTTAAGTCCAGCTGCAAAAACTCAGACTCCCTGGCAATGTAGTAGTGGAGTGCATAGCCCATAACCTACTGATATGAAACCATATCAGTGTTCCCTTTTTTTCTTGCAAGAATTAGGACAAGGCCCTCTCCTTGCCCATTTTGGGAACCTCAGCTGCCCATGTATTGATCTGTGTGCTCTCAGCTTTAACAGCTGTCATCGTTGTATGAGTTTTCATCTGACTCCTCTCTCAGTCTTCTCCATCTAGGCCTGCTGGGAGCCTCCCAGAACAGAGTCTGGGATTTGGACAGCTCAGTTTAATTCTTGGGTGTCAGAAGCATTCTCCATGGCATTTTTTACAGTGATTTCCTCATCTCTGAGACACATTTGGTGATCTTCAGATTCTGTTGGCCTTGAGGGCAGCAGTGGTTGTCTATGGTTGTCTGCTCCTCTGAAGGCAACTTTCTTTTGATCTAAGTCACCATTTTGACTCTCCTGAGGCAGAGCCAGGCCTTTTTCCACCGGGTTACTGTTCCCCCACTGAATCCCTGCCTCCAGCACTCAGTCTTGCACCCTGTTAGGCCAAGTGGGAGAAGTTCCTGGGTAGGCTACAGCACTGAAGAAATATTTTGTCCCTTCTCAGCCTGCTGGCTCTGGTCCTCGCCTTCCGAAAGTGTACTGTATCATCAGTTGCATTGGCTGCTTCGGCTTGTTCTCCAAGGTAGGTGTGGAACAGGATTCTTTGGGTCCTGTTAGACTTGTTCAGCTTTCAGGCTCTGCTTGGGTATCTGCCCTTCATAGTAACCTAAGCCCTGAGTGGGCAGCCCAGCTGGCATCAGGACATTTGGGGAAACTGAAGTGGGGGGCTTGAGGTTGACTTAATTTTAAGAGAGTTTGGAGGATTGTCTCTAAACCACTTATCCCACTTTAGTCAAATAAGAAAGCAGTTGAGGTAGCTATGCATGGTGACATGTATCTGTGATCCTAGCACTTGGGAAGCTGAGTTTGAGGCTATCTTGGGCTATATAGTGAGTTCAAGGTCAGCATAACTACATAATGAGATCTTGCCTCAAAAAAAAAAAAAGCAAAATTTAGTTAAGCAGGATAAAGAAAGACCTTCAAGACTGTCTTATTCTGAACTCTAGTTTCATCTATCCAGTGGAGTTAATGTTCTTCCACCGTTCCTTCTCCTGTACTTGTATGAAGCTCAAATGAAGTTTTACAAAAGTCAGGTCATAAACAAATATAAAAGCAATATAAAAAACCCAGTCATCATAAATTGGGGACCCTGAGTTTTGCTGTGACCTCTTTGAGAGGAGAAGAGAAGTTGTCCCTGAGGCTTGTGCTGCTGCAGGGGGCTAGTTAGAGTGTCGGTACACCTGAGTTAAGATTCAAAATGAATCCCTTGGAAGGGACAGGGCATATTTTGGTGGCAAAAATGGGCTTCTTTTTGTTCTGCTTCAGCAAGACCAAGGGAGGAAGAAAAAAGAACTTTGTCAGCCTCTGCTTGATTGGAACTTTCATTTGTGCAATGTTGCAAGGATTGAAGGTAGCCCTTGCCTCTGGGGAGTGTTCCATGAAAACTGGAAGATAGAGTGACATGAGGTTAGACTACTAGGACCACAATCCTGAGAGTATCATCATGGGTGACGAGTTTACACTGAATGACTCTGTGGGGACAACTGTTTTAGAAGAAGAGAGAAATATGAATTGGTAGAGAAAGGAAAAAGAAGGTTAGGAAATAGCAGCTCTTGTTCAGGAAACAGCAGATTTAGCATGAGACCAGTCTCTGCAAGGGAAGTCAAAAGAATCCACTGGTTGAGGGACCTAGGATTGCATGAGAATCAGCTGGACTGTGTGAGAGCCTTACATGTGTCTCCTTCAATCCTTTCCTATAGATCCTGGATGAAGTGGAGAAGAGGCATCAGATTTCCATGGCTGTCATCTACCCGTTCATGCAAGGCCTCCGAGAGGCAGCCTTCCCTGCTCCTGGGAAGACTGTCACCCTCAAGAGCTTCATCCCTGACTCAGGCACAGAGGTGGGTTAGCAAATGGGTGAGGTCCCCTTGGCTGGAGAGGGTGGCTTCTGTGGCACCTCTCACCCCTCTTCTTCCATTCACCAGGTTAAAATATAGAGAAACTGAGCCAGGAGGGGACTGGGACTTGGTTAGAATTATTGGCAGTGCTGAAAAATCAAACCCAAATTTCCTGAGCCTTCTAACCTGATGTCCACAAGCACCCAGTTACTGTTCAAGCCACCGAGACTTTTATTTGTGACCAATACACCATGTAAGTTGAGGTTTTTGGTGTTAGAAGGACTTTTTTCCCCCCAGACCCCAAGCTGGCACTTGCCCCTACACTTCTTCTTTATTCTGTATATCTAACCTATATCTCTACCTCATGGCTTCCATCTGTCTGTCTAGTCCTTATCATCCATCCCCCACTCCTGAGTCCTCACCCATGCTACCTGGGGATGCCACTGTTTCAAGGCTTAAACAGACTGAAGCAGAAAGTAGAACACTGTCTAAGATTCTGGTCTGAGCCCTGGAACTCCAGAGAGCCTGTGTGCCCCTCTGAACCTTGGCATCCCCACAGAAAAATAAGGGAGTGGCTAGGACTTTTTTCATCTACTTGGAAAATAAGCACTGAATGTTTGGTGTGTGCCAAGCTATCCTATTTCCTGTGTACATGTGGTGACCAAAATGAACATAATTCCTGATAACATGGAGCTAAAAGTCTGGTAGGAAAGACACATATTAAGTAAGTAAACACACCAAATGAATATATAATTAAAATTGTTATTATTGTGATGAAAGGAAAAACCAGATTGTTACATGAGAAACAGGGAGTATCAGGTAGCAAGGGTGTACCTAGGAGGTCTTAAAGGGGATAAGAATGAAGGGAAAAGAGAAGTTCAGGAGAAGCCAAGCTAAGAAGGGCTACATGACAAAGCACCCTCTCTGCTCCAGCAGTAGAGGGGAGCTGTGGTGAAGCAGGTTAGAGAGGATAATGTGCTTGAAGCAGGATCTCACACCATGCTAGAAAAAACATGGTGCTGTCCTCAGAGATGATGAGTGTCATGGGTGGCTTTTAGCATGGGAAATGGGAAGAATCAGCTTCCTGCTGTGGGGAGAATGGAGTAGGACAGGTAGAGACCCAGAATTCTAGTTCCTGCATGATTTTGCAGGTGTGATGACATTTGCCTCTCTGATTTTCCCACAGTTCATTTCTCTGACACGGCCCCTGGACTCTCACCTCGAACATGTGGATTTTAATTCTCTGTTACAATGTCTCAGCTTTGAACAGATTATTCAGATCTTTGCCTCTGCAGTACTGGAAAGAAAAATCATCTTCCTGGCAGAAGGTCTCAGGTGAGCCCAGACACTGAATGGCTAGATTGGCCTTCATCCTGGATTGAAGGGAACAGGGTGGCATTTCTCAAAGGAAATCAAACTATAGGACCTGTCTGCCTCCCCTAGCACTTCCAGTTTCTGGATGTGTGTATTAGGCATAAGGAAATAGCTGCTGCAACCTTTCTTCCCTATCTCCAAATTTGATTGCTGCCAAGGCCTGAAAAAGTTACCTGATTTAGTTCTGAGAAGGACATGAAGGGTTACTGGCACAGCCTAGGCAGAAGCAGTTAGGGTAGATGCAGGTATGACTTTACCCTTCAACAGCCAAGGAGGAAAGAGGGTGGAGAACAAGACAGGAAAGTGTGTAATGATATAGAGAGTAAATCCATCTGTCAATTTGTTTACTCATTCAACAATCATCATTTATTTTGTGTCAGCTGTTTGCCAGATGCCAAGCATTGGGAGGATACCAACAAAAGTTGGTCCTTGGCCTTCGGGGATGCAGGATTATGTAATGGTAGTAAGCATGAAACTCAGAAAAATGAGTTTCCAGTCCTGTTTTTCCACCTTTAGTTGTAAGGTATACCGTAGGTCACTTTCTTTTTTTAAAGTTCTGATCTCATTATGTATACAATGGAAGTGATAGTACCTAACTGTTAGGTTTGTAAAGAAAATAAATAGATGTACACTGAGCATCTAGAATCCTGCAAGGTGTGTTGGTAAGCACACATTGCTGTTCTTAGTAAGTTTACAATTAAGTATATTTCTGTGAATAGTCCAAGTGGGCCACTGTCATGATTTTCTTTCTACCTCTGAGAACTTCAAGACTGAAAATGACCTGGGAAACACATAAGAAAAAAAAAGCATGGGGGGCCGGGGATTTAGCTCAGTGGCGTAAGCACCTGCCTGGCAAGTGTGAGGTCGTGAGTTCGATCCCAGGTACCACAAAAAGAAAAAAATTTTAAAAAAGCATGAAATAGTAAGGGCTTGACACTAATACTTTTAGAAAAACAGAAGGAAAGGATGTTAGGGAAAGTAACAGAGGTCTGAGTTCCAGGTATTTGTCATGCATTTCAGAAGAAACAAACCTTAGCAGGAATTGAGGTCTCTGTTGAGGATTCTAAGAAAATCAGTGATAACCAAACACTGTATTATAGGGACTACTTATAAGTTAATCTTTGTGGGGAGGGAGTATCATCTTTTGCCTTGGAAATAACTCTTCTGCTTCTAACCCTGTGTGAAAAAGAAGTTTCTGCTTTGCATGGGTGAGGTTCTGGCCTTGTTGCTCAGATTAGTGTTTATAAAATAGAGGCTGCCGGATTTGCCTCTCAGGAGCAAACTTTCTCCAGGGAAATATCACTACTGCCATTTCCTCCCCACACTGAGTTTTCAGATCTCTGAGTCTCTCTGTGGAAGCAGACTTCTAGTCAGCCAGAACTTTAGCTATAAGCTCAGATGCTCAATCTTTCTAACTCAGAAAGAATTAGCTTGATAACAAAAACTGAAACAAGGTTTCCTCATCTGTGTTTTTATTGGCCTTAGATTTGGAGCAATTTGGCTGGGAGAACTGAAAAGTCACGAAGTCAGTGTGTGTGTGTGTGTGTGTGTGTGTGGCAGGGGGGTGGTAGGACAGGAAGGGCTGAGTTGTGCCTTGGGTGCTAACAACATAGAAACTGCTTCCTTGCAAAGGCTAGAGAAGCCACCTCTGTGGGACTTTCCAGGGAGGAATTGTCAGGCAAAGGTTCCTGGAACCTAGGAATTTCCCAAACTCACTCAGACACCAACCTGGTAGCTTTCAATAAACTCAAGTGGCCAGGAAGGGCCATGTGAAGTCAAAGCTGAGGATTAGGGTAAATAGACATAAGAAAAGGCTCTCTGGCTTTCTGCTGAGGCCCCATATTAGAATAATTGTCCCTTGTCTACACTAACATTTCCATAAAAGCAGAATCAGTCTAATGTTATACCTAGTATCTGCATCTTTAACACAGTTATGAGCACATGTAGTGACTTAGTCACTTCTCTGAACAAACTGGCAACAAGTAGCTACAAGCTCTGTGACCAGTGTGGCTGCTAAACTTTTTTTTATACCAGCACAGGTAGCACTTGTAGGAGGTGTTGTGAAGGGATGGACATTTAAGGTGGAGGAATAGGGGCCTCTGACATGTCCTTGTTCTCTGCTCCAGCACCCTGTCTCAGTGCATCCATGCTGCTGCTGCACTGCTGTATCCCTTCAGCTGGGCTCACACCTACATTCCTGTTGTCCCCAAGAAGCTTCTTGACACTGTCTGCTGCCCCACCCCCTTCATGGTTGGAGTACAAATGCGCTTTCTGCAGGAGGTTATGGACAGCCCAATGGAAGAGGTATGCTGCAGCGAGACGAGTGCATGATTTAGAGCCAGGCAAGCCTGGATTTGGATCTCAGCTTTGCTACTAACAACTGTATGATTTGGGACAAATTACTTAATCTCTTTAATCCTGAGCTTCCTGATGTGTAAAATGGGGACAACAGAGTTCAGTTCCTAGCAACTTTCAGGGAAATCACCTGTAGAAAGCTTCCAGCCTGATGCATGGCATACAGCTGATATTCAATAAGGGTTGACTCTCTTCTACTGAATGATTTCTCTGTGGTCTTAGGTGGTGGTACATAACTTATCTGGAAGTCATGAGATAGCCCTGCACAAGCTAACCCAGATAAGCGGTTTCTGAGATATGCCATCCCTCAGCTGAACAGATGAGTACAGCTGTCTGTATAACACAAAACACATTCAAATTCTTTGGAAATAACGCTTTGGAATTCATTCAAATTCTTTGGAAATAAAGCTTCCTATAGGGCTACCAAAACTATTAGGTTTTGAAAATGCAGATTTATTTTCACAAGACCATCTTTCTGATTAGCCTAGAGCTTGGTTAATGAGGATATAGGTTCAAATTCTCTTTGATTTTGTTAGCTTATTTCTTGGCAATGCCCCTGACGCAGCAGAGGATTCCATTGTGAAAATGGGCATTAATCACATAAATCTATCCCTGAAGTTGAAAAAACAACACGCACTCTTCTTTGAATTGTTAGTAGGAACTTATAAGGATAGAATGTTATCTGAAGGAGAACTACTTAGGAAAGTTTGCCCTGGCTAACCATGGATTCACTCATTTTATGCAGAAAGGGTCTATCAAGGGAAAGGGAATCTAGAAGAATGCTTCTAAAAAGGCCTGGAGCTAGCCCTAATGAGAGCATTTTCTCATTGTATATTAAGAGACAGCTGAGATCAAGAGAACCCAAGTGTCTTAGAGGAGCCCATACAGGCAATCCAGCACAGATGAAACCGAAGTCCTTTTGGAAAAGTTACTCCTGTGAAGAAGAGAAGCAGGCTGTTTCCCTTCTTTGCGCCTCTGGCTCTCTCACTCTTCCTTGGAGCTGCTGAGCACATATGCCCTTTGAACCACCCTTAGCCTTGTGACTAACTGGGACAGAGTATTTGCCCTGTGTTTAGCAATAAAACTTAAAATGTCCCAACCCCAAAAGTTATGCAAGTTCCTGATCTTGCAGCTCCAGCTCATCAGAAGCTAGGGCTCCTCCCCTCATGGTCAGGCTTGAAGACAACTAAAAAGCCAGGAAAATTCTGGCTCCTACTATCCAGGCTTATTTTTATTACTCAGCAGCTGCTCTGAGAAATAGGCGTGGAGTAAGGGGGTCAGAGTAGGAATGGGAGAGGTTTCTTGACTCTACATAGGCTCTCATGAAGGGATTATTCCACAGACAATAATGTGATCAGATACTTCAGACTTCAGGAAACAACCTCGAAAAAAGAATTCTTCGTTAACAGTCTTTTCTTCCAACCCTCCAAAGGAACAGCTGACCCTGCTTGAAGGCTTCTGAGCCTATGTATACAAGTAGTTTCATGCCTGAAGTAGTTCAACTTTTCTTCCCTGGATAATTACAGTGCACACAATTTTTTGGGGGGGGGCATGTTTCCAGTCCCTTTTTCCTTGTAAATGGAAAGAAACATGTAAGAATCCTTCACTCTTATCAAGAACAAGACCACAAACTAAAGAGGATCCCTACATAGGTCCCAAAATGCCTGGCACATGATTTGGGGGAACAGTAATACATTGGTGACCAGATGTCTTTCCTAAAGTGGGCAGCTGAATATTGCTTTTTAAAATGTGGATCAGCATTAGAACTCCTTAAGTTTTAGAAGTTCCAAATCAAAGTTTAATGTAAAATATACTAATTTATATATAGGAACTAATCCACTCATTAAAAAATTATTCTGAAGACCAAAGAAAGATCTGGTTGGAATCAGCCAGCAACATGTTTGATTTGTAATTTCTGGCCTATGCTGCAGGCTCCACAGGATGTGATGGACCGAAATTCCAGCCTTGTGCTTGTTTCTGTAGCTTATTAGCTTATAGTCTCTTCAGTTAGCTTTCCTTCCCTCTTCCTATTGACCCTGGACTTATTTCCTTCCCTTGTTGAGTTTCCTGCTGGACGACCAAGGCTCTGAGGGAGTTTTTATTAGAACCCCAGGCAACTGTACCTAAAGTTGTTATAAGCATTAAAAGATCAGAACATGTCTACTTTTCCTTGAACTGACCAGAGGAGAGGGAATGGAAGGGGAATTGTAGAGAAAGAAATGCAATCCGATGGATAATACAAGCCAGGCTTGGAAACTGTGCTATTTGTTAGCAGTATATCAACTTCTTCTGCAAAATAGAGATAATACGTGTCTCACATAATTGTTAGGAGGATCAAATGAGGTAAAATATGCAAAGTGCTTCCCATGTGTGCCATGTTCAGAATGCTCCATATATGGAAGTAATTTCTATGATCAATGTTTTATTAAGGGAGTGACTGACTAGGATTTCCCTAGATCCTACTTTCTTTTTACCTTGGCTCTTTCCTCTTCTCCTCCTCTAGACACACACACCCCTTCCCCAGGAAGGGAAGTGAGATAGCCTGAGGAAAATGGTGAGGGGACAAGAATGTATGACAGGAAATAAGAATTGAAGATGCTGATTTTGTTAAGTAGGTTCAAAGATACAGCCACAGGCAGAAATGGGGTGATAAGTCCTCCTGAGAACTATGAAGAGATAAAATCATTTTGTATTTACTTCAGGTCCTGTTGGTGAATCTTTGTGAAGGAACATTCTTATTGTCAGTAAGTATCTGGATTTAGAGCCACCACCAACTCAACCACTACGGTCTCATTATGTTCTACTTATTTCAACAAATATTTTGAGAACTGCTAATAAGACCTCCCTTTTCTTTTTTTCTTTTGGCTTTTCAGACATAGAGTCTCACTGTGTAGTTTAGGCTGGCCTTGAACTCATTATGTAGCCTTGGCTGGCCTTCAATTCATGGCAATCTTCCTGGCTCAACCTCGCAAGGGCTCGGATTACAGCCATGCACCACTAAGCCTGGCCAGATCTCCCTTTACTTGAGGAGGCCTCAAAGACCTAAATGCCTTTACTATAAGGCTATCTGTTCAATACCTTTCAAATACAGGAATACGGAGTGTTTAACGTTGCACTTGCTAATGTTTAACGTCAAACTGAAGATGAAGAAACAGTTTCTGTTGTTTCTGCATGTGGGCAATTACTTGGTTGTAGAATGGGATATGGTGTTCAGGCCCTCATACTCTTTTTCCAATCCCTTCCCTTCCCATCACCTCTCTGCTTTACCTCTGAGCTTGCACTGTCCTCTCCTAGGTTGGTGATGAAAATGACATTCTACCACCAAAGCTACAGAATGATATCTTAGATTCTCTTAGTCGGGAGACCAAGGAGTTACACAAGAGTAAGTTCCAGCTCATTCTCATTGTGAGTTCCTCTACAGAACTTGAGGGCATAATTCCTAACCATTTCCTTCTGGAATTAAAATGGACTCAGTAGATCTGGGTCAGCACCAGAGGCCCAGATCCCAGGGCAAGTCTGAATATGAGATTTTATTTTTCTGAGCAATGGCAGAGAACCCATACCCAAGGTGATATTTCAGTCAGCCAGTAATTATAAACCCTATCTCATTGCTTCCCTTGGGAGCTTTTGGCCTGCAACAAGAAAATTTACATAGATGATTTTGAGCAAGTTTCATCCTTTTGCTACCCTCTGAGATGATCTGTATCTGTCCCTTGCAGCTTCAGAAGAAATCAATGAGCAAGTTTCAGGTCCTTTTGTGCAGTTCTTTGTCAAGACTGTGGGCCACTATGCTTCCTATATCAAGCGGGAGGCAAATGGACAAGGTCACTTCCAAGAACGGTCTTTCTGTAAGGCACTGACCTCCAAGACCAACCGTCGATTTGTGAAGAAGTTTGTGAAGACACAGCTCTTCTCCCTTTTTATCCAAGAAGCTGAGAAGAGCAAGAATCCTCCTGCAGGTACAGTCAATAATACCCAACAGTTTCATCCCAGGGAGGGTCACCTCCAGGATGAGGAGAGGCAAGAAGTCTTTCCCAGAGAGCTACAAACAGGTTGAAAGGAAGCTCTCTGAAAACTAAGACAATACCTCACAGACTGATAGTTTATAAAAGGTGTCTGGTCTGTTGATTAGCTAGTACAATTGGATCCTTTTTCATTTTAGGGCTAATCTCTGGTAATTATCCTGTTTGTAAGCTCTTTCCTGGGACAAACTGAGTATTGATCTCTAGATGCCTGCAAGGGCCTGAGGATACTAGCAGGGATGGGTATGTGGGGGAAGTGTGGGACACAAAAGTCATTACTTTTTTTTTTGGTACCAGGGATTGAACTCATGACCTTGTACTTGCCAGGCAGGTGCTTGTGCCACTGGGCTAAATCCCCAGCCCACAAGCTTATTATAGCCTGAGCTCATTATAGCTTGCCTGGCCAGATTAGATGCCTCTAATACTTGTATCTGCACCCACAGGCTACTTCCAAAAGAAAATACTTGAATATGAGGAACAGAAGAAACAGAAAAAAAACAAGGGAAAAGACTGATTTAAGAGCTGTGGTGAACAGGAAAGAGTAAGACCTATAGGCCAGTTCTGGACTTTGGCACCCACCAGTAATGGTAGGACCGGCAAAATTCTCAGCCTCTAGAATTCAAAGCTTCCTTCCAAGTCCTGAGTCCCAGTGGCTAGGTCTTGCATCAAACTGGTATCTGAGTTTAAGATACTTGGTACCAACTTCCCCAGGACTTTTGAGGGCTTTGTCTCCAAACTCAAAGAATAGGATTTTAAATGGCATTCCCCCCCGCCCCCCAGAGGTGACACACAGCAGGAAACAGTAGTACTGGTATTGGAGGTGCTTGGTTGAGAGGTACTGTAACTACCATCTCCTGGGAACCACTATTTGAAAATCCTCAACAGCAAAAGCCCCAAAGTTTGGTTCCTTCAACAAATAGAGGTCTATGGACATGTGAGGATGTGAGTAAAGATGCAAATCTTATTGCTTATGTGGGGCATGTGAGAATAAACTGGACTAGAAGTGGGCTGTCTTTGGAGTCAGTATCATATGGGTCAGCAGCTCTTTTTTTGACATTGAATATTAAATCTAGGGACTCTGCGTTGAACTTTGTCTTTTTCTTTGAGACAGGGTCTCACTAAGTTACAAAGTTGAGATCCTACTGCTTCATCCTCTGGAATGCTGAGCTTTACCCATGTGAGCTACTATGCTAGGCTAGCAGCTCCACTTCCATTAGGAAGGAGAAGAGATCCTGGTAAAGGCGGAGGCAGCACCAGACACAGAGAAGCAGAGTCTTGTTCTCAAGAGATTCTTCTTAAATCTGAGGAGGAGAGGATGCCAGCCAGAATGAGGCAGCTACAGTCTAGGATAACTTGAGGGGAAGAATTGCAAGCTCCAGAAGCTACCTGGCTTTCATAAATAGGTTGCCTGCCTATCACTCCCAGATTGGACCAGTACTTTACCATCAGTCTTACACATCCTACCTCTAACAGCTTGTTATTTTGAAAAGCCTAGTTAGGTCTTTTTCTAGCTAAAGGTTGAGGAATCCTTGCCTTGACATATTTTTAACAAAACAAAACAAAACAAAACAAAACAAAACAACAAGAAACCCCCACCAGAATAATAACTTTAGAGTTCAAAAGGGTTTTGTGGTCACTGACTTCCTCTTCCTTCTACGCTGCCACTGACAGCTTCTGTTTAAACACTGCAAGACACAGGAAACATTTTAAAAGGATCTTCTTTTTCAAAAATGCTACCTTTAAAATGTGTTCGAGTGTGGTCCTCAGGTCTAACTTCCATACCAGGAACATTTTGGAGGGTAGAACAGGGCGAAAGGGGTTCCAAACTAAAGTTAAAGCCAGTGTGGTTTGATTTAGAGACGTGGCACATTCTACTGTTGACACCACCCATTAACTATGCTGCTATTCTTGACAGCGTCAAAGAATCATACACCTTTTTAGGTTAATTTATCACTAGTTACTAAACCTAGTTTTTCCTCAAAAGGTTTTGGAACAGGAGCCAGAATCTTAGGAATCTTATGAAATACTGGGGACAGCAAACTAGTAGTTTTTAAAAACTTCTTTGGGTAATTTTGATAGTTGGTAAGATAAATAAACACAAGAATCAGGGTTAGTTGAGACTTTCTACAAATGTATCCTGGATCTGATGCAATATCTAGCACTGGAGGAAGCACACACTGAATATTTGGTATTTTCCCAGCTTCCCTTTATTCTTAAAAAGATTCTAGTATACATTTCAATTAGTCTGCACAGTTTAGTTTGGCTTTCAGCTATGTATGGTGAAGGAGAAAACAGTGGACATAGATTCAGAAGATCTGGATTCTAGTCTCTAATTTTAAAAATATCAGTACTGTGTGAGACTGGTATACTAGTTAGCCCTCCCCACCTCAATTTCTATTGTAGGTAATTAATACCTGCTGAATATGGTATAATAATCAAGTAAAACAACAGGTACAACTGTGTCCAGCAAGATTTATCCTTCCTTCTTTTCACTGCTTTGTCCTAGCTTTCTAAACTTGAACTGATCCAGAACTTTCCTATACTACATGTTGGAGAGGTTGTTAGCAAGAAAAGGTAATGAGAAATTTTCTTTCCATCTGCAGTCTGGCAAAGAAATGAAAAATTTAACTCTCGCTGTAAATCCAGATGTACACTGGATTGTTAGAACCATTAAAAGTGTAAGAAATCATGGTCCCTGATGCAAGATAAAGAGTGCAATTACTATTTATTTGTGATTATGGAAGATAATAATAAAAGTCATTAATAAGATATCTTTCTACCCTTCAGTGTTTTCCGTCGTCTCCCTTCTCATTTAAGCAACACAGCTATATAAAAAGGAAAAAGATCTGTTTCAAGAGGACACTTAGTTCCTATATAAATATGGGGAAGAAGAGTACCAAAAGGAAAGTGCGAGTGACCCCTGCTTCCCAGGGAGGCCTAGGCAATTATTGAAAATGTAAGGGAAAGGTAAAAGATCCCGAATGATGGATAATCACAAAGATAATTATTGCAACACAACCCATGGGAGGGAAAATAAACAGTTCTCTTTTTTAAAATCAGTTTCTACAAGGTATGAAGGTTATAGGACACATTTTGACAACATAGTTGATTGGATTTCCTTATTTATTAAAGAACAAATAAATTTTCTTAATTTTTAAAAAGGACATTAACACTTAGTTTACCTTTCCACTGAATAAAATTACAAAAAAACTGGTTTTCATATCATATATTTATTTAAAAAAATAAAATGGATCGACAAAGTTATCATATAATGCATGCTAGCAGAATGTCCCAAGCCTATGAGAGATACCATTTCTTGAGCAATGATAAAAATTTTTTCCTCTCAATAATGTAAAGATAGAAAACCTTTCAGTTCAAATTCAAGGTCTTTCTTACTCATTGCACCTCACAAGCTAGTAGAATATATCTGTCACAAGCCGAACTCCTTAGTAAAGAAAGCTTGAAAAGACACTAAACAAGGATATTACTAAAAGAATGATTTGTTAAAAGTATAAAGCAACCATCTTTTGGCCTATATATATTCTACATTAGAAATCTCCACCATTTGAGACCTGCTCCCCACAACATTATTATTCTGAATCCAGGATAAGTAACAAACATGTGGCATTTTTTTCCTGCATGCTTTCTTGGGCCAAATGCTGTATGACAACATGTATAATTTACAGGATGGGACTTGAACTTCCCATTCTCACCCAGGTTAGGGAGTGTTACCAGTAACAAAGAATGCAAGTTATACAACATTGATTATTATAAATTATATTTGTTCTCACCCCCTCCCCCATTCTCCTTAATATGTTCAGATTCTTTCCAGCAAAAAAACATGAGTTTCTTATATAACACCACTACATCATTAATGATGATTAGAATGACCTGTAGAGACCTTGATTCTGAAGACATGTATATGCAGGTGAGATGCAATTTGATTACAAACACTGACACAGTAGCGAATCAAATCAAAGAAAGAGAAGACCTGGAAAGAAAAGAGACTATTAGATTCTTGGCACAAGTGTAGACATTCCCTAAAGTTAAAAGAGGAGTGGCCTCTTTCTTCAGATTTGCCATCAATTCTACACAATTGAGTAAATTACCTCACGATTTTTCCTTTACATTAAGGAACAATAAATTTTAGTAAATATTTTAAGCTTTGTGCGCTGTACTGTATTTGTCACAACTGTTTAACTCTGCTACCACTGCATGAAGCAGACATAGACAGTATATAAATGAATGGCTACAGCTGGGGCCCACAGACTATAGTTTAAATTTTTGCTTTACACAGTCAGAAATTTGAAATTTGTGAGTCCTGATATAGGCAGGACTAATAAGCATAATGTAAAAGTAAAAACTGCTGAGAATGATGCCATCAGTAACTCTTACAATGGTTCATATATGGGGATTTTTGACATTTTCAGTCAAAAATTATTATTAATCCTGCCTATATCAGGACTAATAAGCATAATGTAAAAGTAAAAACTGCTGAGTATGTTGCCACCTGTAACTCTTTGGTTCCTATATGGGGATTTTTGATATTCTCAGTCATTACAAGTCTATGATCTTTCTCTCAATGAAACAAGAAAATAAGTAGCCTCAAATTATGAAATAAGATACAGTATGACTTACCAGAGCAATCCAAAGCACAATATACTCATCAATAAAGCTGTTAAAATACTGGTCCAGAAACAAAAGTGCTGGACCAATAAATGCTGTGTCATGCAAATGCATTTCACTTTTTGTCATATGTGCAACCTATGAAGAGAACAAAATTAGTGTTGTAGGCATTTTCACATTACAGTAACAATGAGAAAAATTGTAAATTGGTATTATACTCAAATATTTGAAGTCTTGAGTTTCAAGGATTACTTAGCAATGGTTGTTGAATTTCCAAAACTGAAAACCCAACAATGTACAGGATGTCTGAGAAAGAATGAAATATATCATGTCAACTTAGTTTGTAAAAAATGTATTTTATAAGGAGCCTTAACTTGACTGTCCAGATTGGGACTGATAAAATGGAGATACACTGAACAATCGAGTGCAGCAGTGGACAAAATGGTGAAAAGTTGCAGAGGTTCAAAGGAGTTCAGTTATCCTCAGATTTATGTAGCTTTCTGTTAAGAGTCAAAGCAATTCTCATGTAGATGTCAAAAGATTTTTATTTCCAACTGTAGGACCAATTAGAAAAAAAATTAAAACAAAAATTAAAAAACCCTACAGAATAAAAACCATGTCTGTAAAACCAAAGTAAGAGGCAATTTATAATCAAATACAAATTGAGGTGCTTACCACAAGCTTATTCGTGATTTTAGCTGACACAAAACCAAATGTCAGTATATAAAGACAAGGATGCTTTTCGAAAAGCTGAACTGCTGATTTCTTGTAGATCATTACAGCTAATGTAATCACTGATCCAATATGGAGAAAAGGAGAGAGTACACTTGTTCCCTATACAGAGTGAAGAGAAGAGTTAATGGTATTCAATATTCATCAGATGTACCATGGATTTGCCATAAAGTAGTTCAACTAAATTTTCTAGAACTTCATGGTGCTTGACAGTCAACAATTTCTATAAACTAAATACCAGAATGACTATGAAAACAGCGGCCTGAATTAGTAAGGCACAAATTCAAATTTTCACACAGCAACAGGTCAGGCTTATTTTTACAAGGGTCATACTTATTAAAACTATTTATTAAGTGTGTGTGTGTGTGCACCAAAATAGGCACATGTAAGTATGCAAGTTTATGGATGTATACAAAAAACAGGTTATGCATTTTTTTTAAAGTAGAAATTATAAATTAAATAATTTTATACATTTTAATTGAAAAACAAAGTGGTCACAAACTAAGTCTTAGTTTGGAAATAACTGAAAATCTAAAAATGTACTTACTGCTATTGTTGATCCATTTTTGCCAACACCACCTGTGAAGATTACACGGAAGTAATTTGTACAGGAAAATATGGTCCCTGCTACAGTACAAAGTGCAGGAAAAATTTTCATTTGAATATTCAGCACTGGAATCTTTAATGGATAGAGAGAAAGAAGAATTAAAATATATACAAACTAAAATAAGAAAACAGTACAAATATTTGATTTATATTCCCAGATTCTCTCCATTCCTTCTAGTTAGTATTTCAAGCAATAGAAACTTCTTTTTCCTCTTCATTATAAGCAATATAACACGCCTCAAGAAATGAAGCTCTATAAAAAATAATCTCATTTTGACATCAATCTTAAAAACACAGACCCAACTTTATTAATTAGCCATAATCTAAGTAAGGTTTTTCTAATGCATTCCAGAGGTCTACCAACAGTAACTATGGCATTGTCTGGCCTTTTCATAAAGGGATGAGCCTTGCCTTTTTCTTTGTGTATATTTTGAACTCTTTCTCTAAATTTGTAGTGAATTTCTCATTATTGTAGGAAAGTATGGAACATAAAGCAATAAAAATATCTGCAAATAGATTTTATCATCTGCAAAATATAGAATGGATGAGTCCCCAGCTCCAAGTTGTTAGGATACAAGCAGCTAGTGAAAGCAGAGGGCAACTGAGGTGGCCCTCATATGGAGGAGAAAAATCCACGCAAAGCCACACTGGTATAGCTCTACAGTTGTATATCCACATTTTTAATATGTTTATTTTTCAGGAATGTTAAGTAATATATTGTTATAGGATTGTTACTGAAAATGCAGGTTTACTTAAAGTAAGAGGGGCTGAGTGGATTGATAATCTTGCAAGCACAATATCCCTTATTTAAAATGGAAAAGGCTTATAATAAACTTTTAAAATCATTTCAGATTCTGTTCTTTTTTGCATCCTTAGATTCTCTTTCAAAATTTGTTCAATATGGATTGAAAAGAAACTAACAGATAAATTCTAGTAACACAAATAAACAATTACAGAAACAAAAGATTCTAAAAGCCCACAATGGTTCATTAACAGGGTTGAACCGAGGGCCTTAATACTAGGCTACATCCTCAAACCATTTTAAATTTTGAGACAGTCTTGCTAAATCATTAAGTTGCTGAGGTGGGGCTCAAACTTGTGACCCCTCTGTCTCAGGCTTCCAGAATGCTGGGATTACAAGTGTGTGGCACCATGCCTGCGTGAAAACATTTTAATTCGGGCTATACAGTACTTTTCAGGCCTGTCATCTACCTATACTTTCAAAATCAAATTGGAGATGGGATTGTCCCTTTTGTTCAATGTTTAAAACCCCAGTAAAATTGGTAAGCATAAATTTTATTCTTTGGATACTCCATTTCTTCAAAACTCTCAAGAACTTGGCTTTGTTTATACAACTCAATGACACTTTACAAAATTGTACCTCTAAAAAATGAAATCAGAGGTTCAGATTTCAAGATATACTGCAATAGTATTTTTTAAATGAGATACAATCAAGTCAAGAATTTTATGAACATCCTGAATGATCTTTCTTCCCCTGATATCCAACTCTGACAGTCCAGTTCAAAACTTGTTTTCATTTAAAGAGTAAAAAACCACCATGGATTTTCCTGTTCTAGTTCAGAAAACTAGGGACACTATAATCTAAATCTGATGCATTTGAGTAGAACTCTTATCTGCCCAGTTTCCTAGTTCCAGTCTCTTCTCTAGTCATCCCTCCCACTCTTCCCTCCATAGAGACCAAAAAAGTCTCTAGCAAAGGTGGAAATACTACACTTGCCCAGATTCCAAAAGAAGCAGAGCGTTACTCCAGTACAGGGGCACCCTGTATTAGGGACAGGGTACTG